GGGGAGTCGGGAAAATTTTGGTAGGAAAAAGGGGGAAATGGGAAAATTTTTATCAGAAAAATGGGGGGCATGCACAATTTTTGAAAGAAGCTACAAGTCTTGCTTAGGGGGGAACATATTTTTTTTGCATGACTTTATAGGGGGGTGTTAAGAATTATTCTGGACATTAAAAATTTTCACCTGCCTCCCCCTTTGCCATACATTATGAATGCAGCCTAAACAATCATAAACAATAAGATCTGACTAGCAGGGGCGACTTTTTTATAAATTGCTCTGGGGACGTGACTCAACTACTCTTTTGCTCTCATATTTAATTACTAATTGATATACTTTTGTAATCGCCCACATTATTATATTCATAAATTATTAATATATTATAGGAGGATTTGCAGATGAAAAGTGTTGATGGAGTATGGAAGCTAGTTGGCTTAGTAGAACTTGGGGATGAGTACAACAACATATATTATATAATTATATAAACCATAGACATTAAATTAATTTAGAATTAATAATAGGAAAACAATAAAGAATTTGACAAATAATGGTCATGCATGACCTGACCTCTAATAAATTTGACTCCCCCTCACATACACCGATATACTGCACACTCATTATATATTACACAGCAATTTGGTGTTATGATAAATTTTGATACACCTGGTGATTGATGTACTAAGTTCAAAACATCTTTTTTTAAATTTCTCCCTTTCTTTACAATTAATATAGTGAGTGCCAGGGTGGCCCTCATCTTATATGTAGTAACATCTCTTTCTATAAAAACATGCATGTCATTTGCAATAATTGCAGTCATTACATTTTAATGAATTTATTTTAAATTTTCTTCATTTATAGAAGATGATATAGCAGAGGTTGCAACTCATGTTATGCAGTTTGTATTTCTGGGAAATACAGGATTTCGCTTTCCTTTTGCACATTTTCCAACTAGAGAGGCTGACCCAGCATCAATATATGTTAATTTTTGGAAAGCAGTTGGTTGGTTGGATCTGTATGGATTTAATGCTACATTCTGTTGCTGTGATGGTGGACAAGCCAACAGGTCATTCATTCAAATGCACTTTAAAGGAAAAGATGCTATTGAAGATAATTTTACAACAGTCAATCCTTACACCAGAAAGCCTATGGTATTCATACTTGATCCATCTGTAAGTATATCAACTATTTCAAAGAATAAAATTACTATATTACAGTATTTAATACTGTAAATATTCAATCTGCTGTATGTCCCCTTCCCTTTTCTACCCTTTTTAATCTAAATTAAATTGCTCTTTAAATATAGAAGTGTATTATAAGTTAATTTTAAAATATCAAATTGTTAATGATAATTTGTTTTACTTTCTAGTATAACTTTAAAAAGATAAGGAACAATTTGGAAAAGAGTCGCATTGGAGGAGTGAGACTGCTGACTGTAGGGTGTGACCACATTGAGTGGGCACACTTGTATCAAGCTTATAGATGGGATCAAAACAGTAATTCTCTCAAGATTCATGAAGAACTGACTGAAGATCACTTTAATTTAGGATATGCAACAAGGATGCGTAATCATCTTGCTGAGCAAGTGCTTTCAAAAAAGATGCTCTATCTTTTACAGGTAAAATGCATGTGTGGTCCCAAAAAATATATCCATTACCCTATAGCTACCACGTATGCTAGAATTCCTAAATTTCTTCCATGCAATTATTACAATTTCCTTGCATCACTTTAAAAGAACAGCTCAAATTGAAGGACATAACAATGGGTTTCTAATTGATTTTCCATGAGGTTGAAATTCATTCATGTTGACCTCCAAATTGAGCTCCTTTGATCGATGTTGATATGTGTCATATGGGTTTTATAATAGACATTCATTAGTCAACTTAATTTAATTCTTAGATTTTATAATTCATAATTCTTAATTATGAACAGAAATCTTTGAATGAAAGAATTTTGGGCTCATATAATTGAATCTAATGCTAGCAATATTGTGTACGTTAATTGCTGTCATTACTTTGGTTTAATTTATAGTCATACAGAAAGCACGTGTGAGAAAATGGGAAGACCGGCTACTTTTCTGGACAAGACTATAGAATTTATTTCTTTAACAAGCAAATTAATAGAGACATTTTCAGATAGGTGACCCATTACGTCCATGAATGATCACAGAATAGCTTTAAACCAAGAATCATATACATGGCTAAGAAATTGGGAAGATGATGCAGCAGCTCACACCGAGCTCAAAAAACCTGTCCAATCCAAACGAATGCTATCAGAAAAACTACGGTTTGATCTTGCTTCAATGTTATTGGGGTTCAATGCACTTTGCAGGATTACACTAGCAAGAAATCCAGGGAGTTCATTATTTCCATTCTGTTAGAAACATAGAATCGAGGCTCCTCCGTCTTTGATTATTTGCATGTTAATTCTGATTTGCCACACCATATTTACTCAATTACGTCACGAGCTATGCCACGTGTAATACCGACAGGAAATGTTAGCTTCGTGCCCAGTTTTAGTCATTAGTTAGTCAGATCGTCCACGCTAGAGTCGTATATTTGGAAGCCAAGAAGTAGTTAAAGTTACCCCCTGGCCCTTTAGAGTGCAAGCGGGAACAGATGTGTAAGTACAGTAATTAGCTTTACACCTTGTCTAAGCCCAGCCTCGGGCATAATAGCCTTTTAGTTACTTTATGAGACCCGTCTATGGTTTATACCGTGTTTAGTCAAGCACACGGCAACACCCTGAGATTTCTATTGCTTAGTAAGCATTCAATTTACAAAGCTAGGCCTATATCTGTATTTATACATTTAAATCTGTACCTTTAAGTCTAAAGCCTTTATTGATCTCATTATCGCTAGTATATTTTTTACGTCGCTTGCAGTGGCACACCCTAAGGCATAACCATAATCGCATCATTTATATTAATACTACATAAGAGTTTCTAGTAGCTATTTGACTGCTATGTTATCATAAAAACTATTAGTATCATTTGTACTTGTACCTTTAGTTTCTTAGTTTTCTAGAATTTGTCATACCAAAACTATGATCGGAACGCATGTTATTCTTTATGCGTGTTTCTATTGTCTTGTAATCCTATTATTTAGTAATTAGTTCATTGATTGTATTGTTTTCAGTTTACGTTTGAATATCGTCAATTAAAATCACCATCAATCACAGCCGATTTTCCGTGGTTCCTGACCTATTCAATCAGTAAAGCTCCCCCGCACACTGAGCTTGCCGCGACAAGTTGTTTAGCTTGCTCTTCAACATTCGCCGTAAGCCTAGCGCAACACATTCAGGACTAATTCAGACATAGTTGAAAATGTGTTTTGTCAACAACGTGGACATAATGGACAAAACTTTAATCCACCATATGCACAATATGGACCCACAATGAATAGTATACTTCTGGGTCAGACAACTTCTACCTCAAGTAGCAATACTGGAAATGTTGAAAGTTTCCCTTTTTATAAACATGGAGTATTAAAAAAGAAATATGTTAGGTGCTAGATAGATTAAAGCAGATTATTTTTATAAGTTGGAAACAAAAACATTACAGCTTTTTGCTGTAGTACTGCATGCATGTATATAAAATATATGCATTGAACACAATCATGTCATTATTTTCTTTTGTACATGTATAAGGTACTGATATTTTTTATTGGATCACTTAAAAACAGTAGTAGAAAGTTGATAATTTCAATGTTATTGTAGTTACCGTACAACTACATGCAGTACAATTATGACTCCAACTCATACAATTCTGCTTTAATGTAAATGTGTGAATTCTAAATATCAACTTGAATTGGTCTGTGTGCATGATCATGAGGCCATATCATTACTCATCAATTATTCTTGTTCATGCCTGATGACGACTCTCATGCCAGTTTACTATAGCTTTTAGGGTTGTACCGAATGCAACAGATCTTTGATATGCCATAGCCATAGCTCTGGAATTTTCTTGATCTTCTCTGAGTAATAATTCCTCTTCTTTAGAAGCTTTGAATCTTTTTCTCTTGGGTTGTGTTATGAGACATGAGGCAATATTATTGGGTTCTATCTTGGGTTTATTCCTTGTAATTCTTAACAACAGAACTCTCGYATCTATTCGCACGTGTTCTCTTGTATGCCTCTAATGCGCATGCTCAACGCTCCTGAATATGCATATCATTACATCCCTCTTTCTCTTATAATAATGAACAGTAACAGTATAACTTAAAATGTTCCACGAATGCTGCTTCTTAATGTTCTTGCCTCTTTGGTTCAACATTCTTCGAATCCGTAACGAATTGGTGGTCGTACAGTTCGCCCACTCCTTGTGATGTTGTGACCCTCTTGAGGAGTTGTGACGTTCTCGTTTGGTGAATMCTGCTGGGAATGGTTATCCTCGAGCTTGGACGGAAGAGGTGCTTCTCTTATGTGGTGGCGATTGCGTCTCAGGTCTCTTCCTTCAGACGTTGTTACCGTGTATGATCGAGGAAGACTCGGAATGTTTTCTTTTACTACAGCAGGTGTCCACTTGAGGGTGGTAGGTTCCTGAATGTTGACGTGTTGACCRGCGTGGAGCTCTGGAAGCGGTCTGGACCCYCTGTCATAATAATGTTTCTGTTGTTGCTGTCTATGTTGAAGCCTTTCGATTATTTCGTCACTCGTGTTATCTCTTTGGATCTTTCTTGGAAGGTTGTCTTGTATGGGTCGTCCAAGGAGAAGTTCAGCCGGTGTCGGCAATTTGTTGCCTATGGGTGTGGTTCTCAGACAAAGCAGTGCCATGTACGGGTCAGTCTTGGCCTGTTGTGCTTTCTTGAGGGTGGCCTTTACGATCTTCACTTGTGACTCTATGAATCCGTTGCTTTGCGGAAAATTAGGGGAACTTGTGATATGTCGAAATCCGTATTCCTCTGCAAAATCTCTGAAGGATTGACCATCGTACTGGGGCCCATTGTCAGATCTCACGACTCGGGGAATACCTTGCTCGCTGAAGATCTGTTTTAGGAGTAAGACTACTGTCCTACTGGTGCTTTGTCCCTTTGGTATCTTCCTGACAAAATTGTACTTTGAGTAGTAGTCAGCTATCAGGAGGTAGTCTGACCCGTCAAGTTGGAATAAATCTGTTCCAACTGTATGCCACGCTCTAGGTGGAGTTTCGGCTGGGTTTAATGGTTCCTTTCGTTGGCTGTCCTGTAACTCCTGGCATGTGACACATGACTTTGTTACCTCCTCAATGTCCTTGTTCATACCCCTCCAGTAGACGGAGGCTCTTGCGYGGAGTCTAGTCTTTTCTGTGCCTTGATGGGGCTCATGGAGTTTCCTCAGGATGTCGGCTTGCATTTCTTTCGGTATAATGATGCGGTGACTTTTCAGCAGGACTCCTTCTTCGATGGCTATTTCGTCTCTATATGACCAATAGTCCCTTATTATCTGTGGCACTTGTTCTTTCTTT